AATTCATGCTCAGATGTATTAGAGGAACAATTCTGATTCAGTAGAAAGGGCAGGCGCGGGGCTTGATTATGGCAGGAATGTAGTTATTGCATGTGAACATGATTTGGAAAGAACCAAATATTTAACACAACGTTGACCATGAGTGTGGTTCATTGGTATAGATCGGTTTCATGATTAAAGTCTGTTGACAGAGCAAAACAGCAGTTCTACTAAACCGAGTTGCAGACTGTTCTTATTCTTTTTCATGCTTCCTTCGGTCCTTGAAATCTTTACAGAACATCTTTTAGATTAATCAGAGCCTGCTTTTTCTTCATGTTTTCCTGTGCATTCTGATCCTGTCTCTTGGTCTCAAATAAGTGGTTGAACACTACATAATGGTCTTAGAATGCAACTAAATGGAAGTTAAATGTTACATATGCTTTTCCTCCTTTCCAGTATTAAATAATCAGTGTTTGGATATAAGGCAGATTTTTAGAAGCCTAGACTGAGCATAATCCTTTCTTTCTAAAAGGCCAAATAAATACATATATGTTACATATACATACACAGACATGCATGTATAAATACATGTTTTGGTAAAAGTTGATGACAGGAGTTGGAGTTAAAACAGGTCCTTCTGTTAAATTTGTAGTCACTAGAGTATGGTTCATTCACTTTGAAAGATTCTACCCGTCCGAGAGAAATTTCTTGTGTTCCATATAACAACGTTGTTGTAGCTATGAGATCTGATGATATAAATACAGACAAGGTCTGTCAAAAGAGGTAATAAATTTAAACGGACCTCTTTGTTTAGCTGGAAAGAAGCAAATGCTGTGGCATAAGAAAGGCACACTATGTTGGAAAACACTATCCCATCCGCTGTCAGCTGCTTTAATGAAGATACCACTCCAACCTACAAATATCCTTTTCCCAAATGAGACGATTATCGATAGAATCCAGACTTCCAAGGAACTAGAAAACTGCAAATATTAGAATTGGCAGAGGATTTGGATAAACAGTTTTTTACTGAAAATCTGTTGAGAATGTGATTGTTGGGCTTTTTGCAATGCAACGCTTGATGTAATTCTTGTGGGGAGAAGACTCGGTCCCATGGAGGTTTGAACCTGCGATTCACTTCCATTTCAGGGTCTAGGCTCCTGTTCATCAAAGAATCTTAAGAATTTAGTTCCTTTGATGTGAATGTTTTAAGCTCATGCTAGAGTAAAGCTACTGCTTACGTGCTTTTCTGAACTGGCATACTAGGTAGGGGGTAAAGAAAGATTAAATTAATTTGTTGGACTAAGTTGCACTGTGTGTTGTCCTGGCCGTCTTGCAGTTTTCCCCTTGCAGCTAAACTAGTTAATGGAAAGTTTCTAGAAGCTTAATCATGTAAACTAGAAGCTTAATCATGTAAACTAATTTAAGGGATAAGTAAATAAAATAACTAGATTAAGATTTCAATCAAGTAAATACTGAAGGTTTTTACAAAGGCAGCCTATTTTAATATTGGAGGCTTTTTTGCCTCATCCTCAAAGAGCAATAACTCTTAGCATAGACAATGAATTTTTCCTTCAGGCTAATTCTGATACTTCCCTCCCAGATCAACTGACTGAGGACACTACAGAACCAAATATCCCATTGTAAATGTATCATCTTCAAGGCTCACTCAGAAATCTGTTGAGCTGGAAAATAGCTGCCTCTTAAGTATATATACCTTCACAAGTGCATTTAGCACCCATGACAGCAGAGGGTGGATGATGCTGGAAAAACCCAGGTAACAACAATTTGCCATCTCAGGTGCATGTTGGCAGAGCTGAGATCTAGGGGTAAAGATTAACATTTGTGTGTGATTTAAACTATGAAACTTCAAATCTGGAAGAGTGTAGGTAGCTCTTTGTTCTTGTAAAATACATGTATCTGTTGCCATATAGACCTCATCATCTTGGCCAAAATTTCTGTCTCCCCTTATTGCCCTGCACACCATTGTGTGTGTTGCAGGTTCTTGTTCAGCAGCCCAGGTGTGACCACACGCCACTGGTGCAGTTTATACAGTGTCTTGTTTGTGCAGTCCTTGCAGTCTGTTAGGATGAAAGAAAACGTGTGAATTCAAAATACTGTTACAAAAGTAGGATGCAATTTGATATCCTACAGAATTATATGCGTGATTACTGTCTGTCCTGTAACCTTTCACTGTGATTTTGGTTTGTGGTTTTTTTTGGAAAGGTGTATCTGTGTCTAATGTTACAAAGTCTGGGCACCATATCTCACTAAAAATAATCCAGAAAATAGTCTACTCTAACTCTAAGCATGACAAATGGCAAATCTAATTAATAAAAAGGGTAGCTTTTTGCTGCTTGTTAAACTGGATTAATTCATCTGGCACTCCTTCCTGACCGAGCTTCTCTCTGTAACTTGTCAGTGACCAAGAGGTTTCAGAAACATCATCCATGAAAGGGCTTGTGCCCTACCTTAGGACCCAGTCTAAAATGTGTCCTTCAACAGAAGCTAAATTGAGTCAAATGCATGTGCTCCTTCCCACTGTATTAACTCACTGCCATTTTCTTACTATTAAAGAAATAGAAATAACTGCCGGTTTTTGGTGACTGCCATCCAAAGTAGTGATAGTGGCACTAGTGCACTTATTATGGCACCAGGACATCATACCACGATAAAGCTTTCGTTTCAATACAGAATGATTATGTGGCTTTGGTGTTATATTCCTTGTAGCTGGATATCCATTTTCATATGCTAACATATGTTTGTCCTGTTCAATAGCAATTTGTTCTGAAACTGCTTGCATGCCTGCTTGGCTAGCTACATGAATTCAATGCAGACTCCGTTTTTTGCACCTAAAACTTATGATGTGGAAAACCACTTTGCAAAATCTAAAGCATTCAAAATGCTCTGTGCAGCTTTACAGGAGAAGCCAAGGGACTTTGGAAAAGCTAGACTTCGATTTGTATGCTACAATACATTTTAGTCAGATTATTAAAGTCTGTATCTGCCTCAGCATATTCTGGATCACTTCAGTATTACACAAATAAACTAAATGCACAGCCTGGCAAATAATCAGATCAGGTCACCCGTGACAACACAGCTCAATCTTGGTTTCGTAGCTTAAAATAATGTTCCTTGCTCTTATATGCTTCCTCATGTTAACAGCTGCAAGTGATAATAGTCTCCCTGAACCAGCACTGCTCCTGAGATAAATGGTAGTAACACTTGTGTATAAATATGTTAATATACTGGCTGTTAGTGCTGAGGTTCAGGAGATCTGAACTCTGGTTCAATTCTTACTGCTTTTGTTGACTTGTACAGCAATTTGGGGACTCAGCTCCTCTCTGCTTTCATTTATAAGTCCAAAAATCCAGGTAACTAAAGACAGCTCAAGAGGCAACTTAAGTTAGTGTTTTTAAGGTGGTTTGAGATCCTTGTGTTAGCATGCTGATGTCTGCAGCTAGTGCTTGTACAGAGAAGATGGTCGTGGTTCATACAGGCTTGTCTGTGAGCAAGCCCTGAGAAGAAAAATAAGGATATTGTGGGTTTAGTCTATATAAAGAGGTAGGTGGGAAATATGGTAGACCATAATGTATTGACTGTAGAATCAGTATGAGAAGCTTTACTTCTTGAATAGGAAGAGTCATTCTCTTGAGGCGAGACAGGTGAAAATAGTCAGGATTTGTTTCCTAATGGAAGTTGTACAGGTCAAATGGGTAGGAGTGCTTTCCCCATGCCTGCAGTTTCCCATCATCCTAAACCTTATCTCCCCAAACCAGGAACTCAGCCCCCTTCCCCTCCACATCTCTGACTGCGCAGCGCACATCTCTGCTCCTTGCTCCTCGTGACTCTGCTGTTTATCACCGGTTTCTTATCTGCTGCTGCACATCTGCACATCTCCTGTCCCCACTCTTTGCATCTCCCTGTCAGGGCGAGGTTTTCTGCTGGTGGTCACAAGATGGGGTTGCAGAGGGCTGCGGGAGCCTGCGGCTGCCCCCCAGCCAGCATGTTGGGGGCTGCCTCCCCCGGCACAGCCTGGCTGGGGTGGGCCCTGGCACAGCCTGGCTGGTGTGGGCAGGAGGACGAGGAAGGCCCTCCCTCTGCTCCTGTCTGAGCTACCTGAATTGCCCGGTGGGCGAGTGCTGGGCAGGCTCCTCACGCCTCTGCGGAGCAGGATTACGACAACGGAAAGTACCGCCGCTAGCAGCGGTGTTGGCGTTTGCTCTAACGTTTAATTTCCTTACTTTCCAACTTGTAGAAATAAGTGTTTCTTTTTTAAAATTCCTGCCTTTGTGCATTTGTTTTTTTATCCTAGAACGGTTCAAAAACCGTCAGCAGCGGGCAGGGAGCCCCAGAGGCGGCTCGGCTCGGCTCGGCGCCCCGTCCCGCGGCCCTCTGCTCGCCGCCCCTGCCCCCCGGCTGCCC